AGCACCGTCTCCACCCTCATGTTCCTTACAGCACCGTTCACAATAGCTGAGACCAGGAGACCACTTAGGTGTCCATCCACAAAGCAGGGAATAAAGGAAATGTGCTAGACACACAAGGGAATGTCATTCAGCCATAAAAGGAGGAAAGCTTGCTGTCTGTGACAACATGGTTGAATCTGGAAGGTATTATGCTAAGTGAAATAAGGCAGAGAAATACAGATGTTGTGTGATCTCACTTATATGTGGCATCCCAAAAAGCTGAATTCACAGAAATAGCGAGGGGCCGGAAGGGTGGAGGAAATGGGGACCTGACAGTCAAAGGGGCCAAGCTTCTAGGTATGAGAGGAATACGTCCTGGGGTGTGAGGGGCAGCGCAGGTTCTGCAGTAAACAGCACTTGAAGGTTGCTGAGAGTCCATGGTGAACGTCTCACCATATTAACAGAAGTGTTCATTGTGTGCGAAGAAGGACCTGTGAACTAACCTTACTGTGTTCATCATTCAGCAGAACATGCGTGTATCAAATCATCACATTGTGCACCATAAACTCACACAATGTTATTTCTCAATTATGTCTCCACAAACCTGGGGAAAACCCACAATGGCCAAGGGAAACATTAGCAATTCTCTCCCTTAATTGTACTCTGCCGGGGGTGGGCAGGCTTTTAAGGCATTTCGAACTGTATTTTGCTCTGGCATGCAGGAATTGACATTCTGCCAGAAAACCTCCTGAAATTCTTCAGCTCAGACCCTGACAAGCAGAAAATTCCCAGGGTCAAAATGAGTCAATTTTCTGACGCCAAAATTTCAATGACAAGAAAATTGAAACTAAAGTGAAGAAAAAAATTTTTTTCAGTGAATAAATTTCTCTGATCTATAGTTTTAAAGCAAAAATTACTCTTAAAAAATTAATCTAACTTTTCGTTACGTTGTCTCTATATTTCTAGTGATGACTGATGTTTTAAAAGGCGTGGAATCATTGTGGACTCCTAAGTCGACTTCAGATCATGTTCAAAGTCATTTATTGTTTTCTCTCTGGGGTTCTGCTGGTGGACACACACACACACGCAGAGCAGATCTGTCATAAGGGCAGCCTTGTCTTCAAAGTGAGGAGCTTTGCTTTCTTAACCAAAGTCTTCACATATTTTATGCAGATGTTTCCTTTCTGTTGTCAGTGTTTATCTTCGTACTCACCAGAAGTTTCCTTAAAACAGATTGTACCAAGAAAAATAAATGGATCTTTAACACTCCCCATCACATCTTAAGGATGGAATCGTATTTAGAAGAACACAACAGGTTCCCCCCTTCTCTATGTATTCCTTTCCTAAACTCTGATCTCATCCACTTATAATCACCTGCACCCAGGCTCTGCGCTCCAGGAGTTCATCGACCAGGTGGTAAGAGACACAAAGGATGAGCCCAGTGGAAGTGGGGTCAAGGGTGGGAGAGTCTGGAAGCAGAGTGCGGGCTTACGCTGTGAGCTTGGAGGGCAAAGGAAGGTTCTAGGAGGAAGGCTCACTTGAAGGGATTCTTGAAGGAGGAAAATTTGGATGCCAAGTAGGTGGAATTAGAAAACAGCCTTCCAGGCGGGGGACCCCGGGCCAGTTTGCGGGGATGTGGAGAAGCAGATCCCCTGGGGGAGCGGCAGGAACTTTGATTTGGCTGCACGAGGAAGTAGCAAAGGAAACAGGCTAGAAAACACCCAGAGCCAAAAGGCTGTTTATCCCAGATCAAGTGTTTTGGTTTGGGATTTCATTCAGTAGTGATGAGACGTTTAAGAATTTAAGGCAAAAGCGTGTCGAGATCGGATTTGCAATTGCGATAGGGAAATCTCGTCACCACTGTTGCCCTTTCTGTTATTTTTCTCATCCTGCTTCTTTTCCCAGCTTTGCATGTTAAGCTGTGTTGGCCTCTGTTAGACATCAGCTCTTCACACCCACATTACAGTCTTAGAACGGGCAGAGTGGGATGGTGACAGTGAGAGGCACTGGAAACCTCCCGGCTTACCAAATCCCTGGAGCGCTCCCTCCAGCACCTGGGCGTCCATCACAGGATTGAAATTGGGGGCGGGGAAGATGGTCCCCTGCACCTGGTAAGGGGAGTCAGAGAGAGGGGCTGCAGTAATTCACACCAGCGTTCAACAATTTTTTCCAGATAAAAACAAAAGTATATTCTATGTTTTTAAATGACTCTAAGATACACACACAATTCTGTTAAACAGATGTGTTAATTGCATGTTTATTGCAGAGAACGGACTTGGTTGAATTCCTTTTAGTCCATTGGCCTCTCCTATGCTGGCATCTCTTATGCATCTAGGAAACTGAGAAACTAGGACTAACAATGGAAAAGTGTAAAAGTCAAATAAGTACCCATCTTCTTAATAAACAGTGAGCATTTTCTCAGGAATTAGACCATTTATAGGGACTGAAAAGAAGTGTGCTGTGGGGATTCCTGCCGCTGACGTGAATTAGAAGATGCACTTCCCATCACGGCTTTTTTTTTTTTAAACATATCAGGGGCCCGAAAATCGTATTAGATAAAATTGAAATATTTGAATTTGGGTTATGGGGCTTGTAGAAATCCGGGTGGTTTAGGCAGGGTGAAGATTTTTTCAGCAGAAGCTTGAGGCTACATAGGAAAACATAAAACCCTGACTGACACTCATTTGCATTCTCCTTCTTGCCAGTAATAAAACAGCAGAACATGTGAGTTAGGCTTTGAGTCCACACAGTCTCTCATTCCAGCAGAACCAGGCTCTGTAGGGTGGCACTTAGCCGGGAGCTGCCAGTTAAGGTTTATAAAGATGAGGAGCTCTCCAGTTTGTTGTCAGTGCCCAGAAATACCGGGAAAATGCCTTCCCATAGCAGACGGGTCTCCCGGGCCTCCAGAACGCAGAAGTTCTCCAAGCTCTTCTGCAGCAGTAACATCTCAGCTGAAGAGGAAGTTTCCTGGAGCCCATTTGGTAACAGTGGAAAATTCCGCTTGTCTCATTGATGCATTAATTAGTGAGAAAAAGACTGGACCATAATTTCTAGTCTAAGAAATAGGCATATGCCAAAACCAAAATACTTATGAAAAGATTTTGGGGAGATTAAAACACTGTTCACTTGAGTTAAAACTAAGAATTGAACTCAGTTTGGATTCCACTTGACTAATGAGAAACACGAAGTTGTCTACATCGTACTATGCCAGTGCCTGCGTTTGCAAACGAATGTCCAGTTTGCTTCTGATACCTCCAGCTTGTTGGCAGTGATCTAGGCCCCACGTTCCCTTGAGCCCACCCTCAGCTCTTGAAGCTACTGGTGGGGACACATGTGAGTTTCCTCTCTTGTTCACGCACCAGCTCCCCTGGGTGAGGCTCTCTGAGGAAAACAGACTTTGGTTCTTCTTTTATTTCCTGAATTAAGTGCAGAGAGCAGATTCTAAAGCACATCCCCAGACTGAGTTCTCTTCACCTCAGTCATTTTCTTTTGACTCTAATCCTGGAGGAATTTAAAATTTAAACTTTAGAAAGAAGTGCTGTACCTTTAAATGTGAACTTTTTTTTTTCTTTTCTGCTATTTGTCACTGCCTTTTACCAAATCCTTTGTGTCTGTGTAGTTTGTTCTCAGTTTTTTCATCGGGAAAATTAAAGGTTTTCTGAGGCATGGGGAAGATATACTTTCTTTCCCCTGTTTCAGGAGTTGGAAGACTTGTTTGGACAAGTCTTGTGGGGACAGTACCATTTATTGCCTTGTGACCTTAATCTGGCTGAGTGCTCTCAGCCAAAGGGCTGCTTTGAAACAGAAAAGAAAATGTATTTGAAAAAATTGGGACATAGTGTTAAATATGTGTAATTATCTAGGCCGTTTTCAGCACTGAGTGTGCAAGTGTCCCCACAAAACAAAACGTTTCATTACTGGCCAGACTAGGATCCCTCAGAATTTTCTACTGGAGTAAGTGCTATAAAATGAAACTGTCTTGTGAAAAAAAAATAAGAAAAAGGAAGAAAAAAAAAAGCTCTGCCAGTTATATATAAGGAAAGCTAGAAATGCCTACAGTGATTTATCAGACACAATCTGTAGGTGGAATTTAAAAGTCCGCAGTTTTTTCTTAATCCTCATACAGGCTACGAGTGCAGTGTATTTTTATGATATGCAAAAATGTTTTCTTTTTTCTCGTTGACAGCTCTTAATCTCCTTTGGCACCTAAAATGATCTCCTTATTAACTGGCCTTAAAATCATACATTAAAAATGTTTTGGAAATAAATTCAACACTAAAAGTAAAAAAAAAAAATTGGGAATTTTTAGTAATCCAAAAAACACAACTTTCGAGTAAATGTTTGTCATTCAAGCCGATTTATATAGCTAATTAAATCATTATATTCACTTTATGTCAATTATTATGCTTCAGTTAAGCTCACGTCAGCAACATTATTCCACATGAGGCACATACTTAGTGTTCCTTTTGTTTACTTTCTCGTTGGAGTGCTGCCTTTGTCTTTTAATGATCCTATTTTTCCAGTTTTCCTGGGATATAATTGACGTGTACCATTGTGTAAGTTTACGGTGCACAACACGATAATGTGATATGCATAGTATATATTGTGAAATGATCTCCACGGTAAGGTTAGTTCACACCCATCGCCTCACACGGTTCCCTTTTTTTTTTTGTGAGGACATCTGAGACCTACTCTAAGTAACTTTCATGTGTATAACACAGCATTGTTGGCTGCAGTCACCGTGCTGAACATCACACCCCAGGACCATTCACCTCACAACTGGGAGTTTGTATCCTTCACTGACATCCCCGGATTCCACCCCAACCTCCCACCAGCCCCTGACAACCACCAGTCTGCCACCAGTTTTGACTGATCTGACCAGTTAAGCTATAAAAACAGTTCAACTAATACTTTTAACTTTGTCCCCTGAATTAAACAATTGTTTGAAAAAAATTGTTTGATTAATTGCTTTGGGCTATAAAACTTTCTTCAAGTGCTTATGATATCCTTGTGGATTTATATTAATCTATTTTAAGGTAATCTGACCTTTCCGGTGGAGTTTTTTTTCAAATATTTGTGCTCAACCACATTCTAAGAGGTCCTTCCACCGGACATCAGTCTCTCTGATGGCATCAGTCTACGCTAAGAACTTCTTTCCCAAACTCCCTGGCATATACTGCGTTTTAATTTATCACTAGTACCTTATGTTCTGGGGAATTTGACTCTGTCGGTATATTACTGTTTTGTAATATGCTGCCGAACCAAGTAGTTATTCTGTGGCCGCAGTTCGTATCCTTCTAATTATATTTTACATCCCTTGTCTGCAGAAGGAACATCAAAACCAGACGTGATTTTCTGTGTAGTGAGACTTCTTTTTACAATGTTCTCATTTACTGGTGATGTCACTTAAGTTAAATGATTTCTTTAAAAAATTCATTCATGAAATTTTTGGCTGAATGACCCGGCTTTACATATAATTAATGTGATGAAACTTGTTTTTAAACAAATACAGGACATGTATGAATTAAGCAGATTCCCGAAATCACTACTTGGGTCATATTTGTTGTTTGTATTAGGAAAACTGAAGAGAGACAGCGCAGACAAATGGGGTTTGCCTGTAGTGGAGGGTGTAGGGGTGGAGACAGGGTCCTGAGTTGTTGGCACAGCTTCCCACCCTGCGTGTGAGCAGGTGAGGGCCCCGCTTGAAGCGACTCAGCTGAGACACAGAGGTGGAGGTGAGGAGTGAGCTGGTGGCCAAGGGACATACCATGTTTCTAAGCAAGAGAGTGATACCGTCTGAGCTGAGTGCCAGTCTCCACCACGTAAAGGAAGAAACAAAAAGGGTGTCACAGGCTGGAGGGGCGACTTCCTCAGGAGCCCCTCGCAGGTAAAGGCAGAACTGAACTGCAGCAAGTGGCATGTTCTCAGTGAATACCGGTTGCTTTCAGTGGAATGTAATTTAACTCACTGGTGTTTGAGGTCTGTTCTCAGCTAACCTAGTCCAGCCGTTCAGCCCTTTCAGAGAGCGAGAGGTACTGTGTCAGGAGTCTCTCAGCAGGCACACCCTTTAAAGCAAGCCCTTTTTTATGTACACGTTCCTAATTGTTTCATGTCTTAGAGCAAACTGGAAATTGTGAAAAATCATGTATATATGGTAAAATGATTCTTTTTGCCTTGAAAATGGACAGATTCAGAAGCAGTATCACTTGTCTGAGGCAAAGTCAGTTCCAGTGCCGGTCGTTTCAACTTGAATTCTTACCACAAGGACTCAAAGTATAGTCTTTGTTTCTAGTCATTTGTGAATTTAGATTTTGACAGAAGAATTAAAAATACTCCCTTTTTGAAAGACAGAATAAACTGTCTCATAAACTCACTGTGCAGAAGATCACAAGTATTTCGTAGATTTAAAATTGGTTCTAGAATTTGCCCCTTGAGTAAATAATGAATGGATTT